TTCACTCCAACGTAAGAAACTATTTCTTGCAAATACGGCCACGGGTGTGTAACGTTATCTTCGTTATCTTCGTCACCACCACGGAGTTCACCAAGTTCGCCACTGTAGTCGAGATGCTCCTCATCTGCTACCGGAGTGGTAACGTTAGCAGCAGAGCCTGCAGCAGGTGCTTCCATGATGGCATCAATAATGTGACATGCCCGGACAAGCGGGACTTCTTCTTCTTCGCGCTTGGCGGTTGACATGACAACAAACAGGCATTACGTCACCAACTCAAATTTCTTCTGATTTTAATTTGTAGTAACGAGTAACGAAGATGGTCAGGAGAAATGTATCGGAGTAAAAGTACACATTTTATTTAAGAAATGTAGTGGAGTAAAAGTGAAAGTTGTCAGAAATATAAATAATAGAAGTAAAAGTACACATATGTGAAATTTCTACTTAAGTACAGTAACGAAGTATTTGTACTTCGTTACATTACAACACTGGTGATGAGTAAAAATGTTGAAAGTAACTTTCTGTAAAATGAAGTTAGTTGCTTAGTTTTCAATTTCAGTTACCTGTATGAGCACCATGTCTTTCTCTTTCTGTATTTAAGTAAATAAAAATAAACTGTTTAATTTAGTTTTAGATTAGTATGAAATTATTATACAGCATTGTGAGTTTCTGTGAATCAGCATGAGGATGATTTAAACAGTCAGTACTCCCAGCAGTGAGGAGGAAACAGCATGATATGTTGAGGACAGCTACAGTTCACTGACTCTGTGTGTTTGCATATGTGTCCTTCCTCTCTGCTCCCAGCCTTTAACCCTGTAACACCCCTTGTTGTAAAATTACAACGTTACCTTTAGCCATTCTAAAAAACAATCTGTTATATTTTATCTTATGTTTTACCACATTTACATAGTCATTGGGTCCTATTGTTCAGTCTCACAATGCTATTGGATGGTACATTTGTTTATAAGTCCCGCCTTATGGCCATGAACTCACTCAACTTCTCAAGGTTTCTTTCGAACAACATCTCTTTGTTTCATTGGACTAAATTCATCAGATTCTAGTAAGTAAAATTTCTTTTACATTTTTTTTGGTTGTTATTACAATGTCCAGAGCATGTACATATGTAGTTATTGTGGAATAGATTCATCAAATTTCATTTAGAGCTTGTTATATATTTGTTGCAATTCTACAACACTGGGTGAGTGTGGTAGTCAAAATAGCAGGCTTGTTGCAGTGGGCCCAAACAGGTTGCATTCCCTCCACTACACCACTGCCTCTAACAAAGTATTTTCTTTATACATGGACAGTATACATTCTAACCTTGTGTTGTGTTCTGGTCAAATTTGACTGATTTAAAAGTTTTATCTCTAAAAAATGTAGTTAATTTGACCAGACTGACCTAAAATGCCATGACTTTGTCCACAAAGAGGATATCAACAGACAATTCAGTTCTGGGAAAGGTGAAAATGTTCCTGAATGTGGGGTGTGGATATAAGTGGGGGTATGCATGTTTTCCTTTTAGTATGATAATTAGAGAGCACAAAACGCAGTATTGTTATGTCAAGGCAGTATTGTTTGACTAAATGGCTGGTGATTGGGATGCAAATTTCTTTTAGCATGATAAGTAGAGAGCATAACAAGCTGTCAAGGCAGTATGAAAGTATCCTATCAAGGGGAAATTCAGCAGCATCAAGCAATATATGCAAGGCAAGCCAAACCCATGGGGATTCAAAGTGTGGGTGAGAACTGGAATCTCTGGCATGATGTGTGACGTCTACCAAGGCAATGTCAACGGAATACGAGCCAAATCTGAGCTTGGATTGTCAGTTGATGTTGTGATGAAGCTTGCTTCCACACATCCAGAAGGTCAGAACTAGAAAATGTATGCAGACAAGTACTTCACCTGTGTTCCATTATTAGTGAAACTCCTTGATCGGGGAATTCATTACGTGGGAACAGCCAGGCAGGTGCGCCTACCCTACTGTAACCTTGAAGACGAGAAGAGCTTGAAGAAAAAGGGGAGATGAAGCTATGACGTCAGAGTGGAGGGGAATCACAACATCTGTGCTGTCAAATGGTATGGCAACAGGGCCGTCACACATCCTTTGCTTGAACTGAACCTGTGCAGAAGATTCAACGCTGGGACAAAGCCACCAGAACCTACATTGAAGTTGAGAGGCCTTACATTGTTGGTGCCTACAACAAGTACATGGGAGGTATGGATTTGTTGGACTCATTTACAGCCAAATATAAGTTCCCCATCAAATCCCGTCGCTGGTACTGGTACATGTACATCTTCTGGCACACCATCATCCTCGCTGTGGTCAATGCATGGCTCCTCTACAAGCGGGACGGCAAAGCTCTCAAGATGTCTAGCAAAGAGACAATGAACAGGGAGACAGTTTCAGGCACAGCTAGCATCCCCTCTCATCCTGGTAAACACAACACTTCGAACTCCAAAGAGAGGACGACCATCTTCAGGCAAAGGGAGCCCAGCATCACAGACAGTGACATCAGAAAGCCCTCTGAATGCTCAGAAGAGACCATCCAAGAGATGTGCACACCTTACATTGGATGTACGCAAGGACCTAGTTGCACATTTCCCAGTGAAGACAGGGAGGGACGCTGCAGACACTGCAATAAAGGATACACCAACACCAATGCAGCAAGTGTGATGTTCGCCTTTGCTTTTCAGAGGACAAGAACTGTTTTTGGGACTTTCACTAACAATGAAAGTCAGTCATGAAAAGAAAAAAAGTAATGAAGAAGTTGCCAGAAAAAGATGGATTTTTATCCTGTTTAATAGTTTTTTTAATTAATGACTTCATAAAAATATGACTAATGTGTGATTATTATTCATGTTATATACCTTTATGGGGCTAAGTAAGCAATCAACCCTGCAAATTAACCCGTAGTTGTTCTGAATTGTTGTTCAGACAACATGAGTACAAATACAGAAATTCTGCTCCCACCTAAGCCCAATGTTGCAATATTACAACATTTCTCTATAAACTTACATAAACATTATTTTTTTTAAAACTCTTTAATTTCTGCATCAAAGGCCTACTATAACAACATCTGAAAGGTAAAATAATTTTTTTTAAAGGTTTTTCTATATTTGGGTCTTACAGGGTTAAATGTTGATATTTATAATGTGCTTCTGTTATTTGCAGTGTAGTTTGATATATTTCAGGTCATATGAGGACTGTGTCTGTGCTGATGTGCATGAGAGGTTTCTTAAAGGGAAGTGAAACAATGTGTGAGTGAGTGACTGCTGGAGCAGAAAAACCATCTGACAGAAACTCCTTAAAGGAGAAAATCAACTCTCACACAGTAAAGGTGTCCAAGTGGCTGCTGGTTGATTGACAGCTGTGTGGTCCCTGTCCTCTAATCTGATTGGTGTCTCCTAGGTGATGTCCGTCCCACCCTGACGGTGCTGCCCCCTCCAGTGAGGAGCTGCAGCAGGGGAAGGCCACGCTCATGTGCCTGGCCAACAAGGGCTTCCCCCTCAGACTGGAGTCTGTCCTGGAAGGTGGACGGCAGCAGCAGCAGCAGCAGCAGCTGGGAGCAGAGCAGGAGCCCCGGGGTGCTGAAGGACGGCCACTACAGCTGGAGCAGCACCCTGAGGCTCTCTGCAGACCAGTGGAGGAAGGTGGGCTCTGTGACCTGTGAGGCCACCCAGGGCTCCCAGACTCCGCTCTCAGAGACACTGAGGAGAGACCAGTGTTCCCAGTCCTGACCTGACTCACTGGGACTCTGCTACTGGTTTTACTCTGCTACTGCTCTCACTGTGCACTCTGTAACTATCTCTCTCTTTCATTTGACATGTTTCAGTCAGAATATTTACTAGCTTGTTGCAGTGTTTCAATATTATTTCACTGTTTCCAGATAATAAAGACGTGTTCATCAAATCAGTTGTTTTCATCTTTATTATTATCAAAGTGTCTTAATGATTTTCTCTTCATGGTGTCAGTGACTGGATTACATCCAGAAGAAAAATGTGTCAATGCAAAGAATATATATTATTCTTAAATCTCTAAAACCACAAAAGTATATAAAAAAGCATATCATCAACATAGAGAGATTTAAATGACTTTGATCAGTAAGTTCAACCCTGGGAATATTTACATACAGCTTTTACTGAACAGCTCAACTGTACAGACAAATGAGTTAAAGTTTTAAGTTTTAAAGTTGCTCTGTGTGTAATAATTGGTCCTCCCTGTTTAAATACATGAGGAGGTCAAAATATTAGAAACACCTGAATATAATGTAATCCAGTGCAACAACATCACTGACCTCAATGCAAGAACATATAATTATCACCTCTATGACAGTGTGAACAAGAAGTGAACATATTTATTCTTACGTATGAATTTCAGGTGCAATGAGTGTATGTCTGCTTCATCAATAATACAAAATGTCTTGGGTTAAAGAGGCACATTACTATTTAAAAGACTTGTTCAAATTAAAGATCATTTTAGTCATCCTTCAGTTTAATTAATCTGCATTTTTAGTGTTAATTTGACTGTTTCGTTGAGTACAACCTAGACTCTAAACTGCTCTAAATAAAGTCTGACCTGAGATAAATTGTGTTATAATTTGTCACTATACAAATCAAATTATTCTATACTACCACAAAATTTTCAGTGAAAAAAGAATTAACCTTCAGAAATTATGAGATGAAAAATTTCTTTCACACCAAAAAATGTTGTGTTTTTGTGTCATAATTCCTTCTTAAACTATTTATTTTCTGAATGAAGCTTTGCTCTAAAACTGTTATAGTAAACTGTAGATGTGTGATAAAACATTGTTTCAGTGATAATAAAATGATGTACTGAATTGTATGATAAATATTTTCACAATTAAAATCATACTGTCTTATACAATCATGAGTTTTCATTGTAGAGAAACCTCTGTTGTTTTAGTGTCAGTGCAGCTGTTGAGTCAGATCAGTTCCTCTCCAGCTGAGGGAGGTTTTTGTACGACGTTGTATCACTGTGTGAACGGGAAGCTGGCACCCTGCTGACAGTAGTAAACTCCTGAATCTTCAGCCTGAACTCCACTGATGGTCAGAGTGTAGTCAGAACCAGATCCACTTCCACTGAAACGACTTGAAACTCCAGACTGACGAGTTGTAGCTGAATAAATCAGGAGATTAGGAGCTTCTCCAGGTTTCTGAAAGTACCAGTGGAGCCAGCCACTAACACTTGAACTGGTTTTACATCTGATAGAGACAGTTTGTCCTGGAACAACAGACTGAGATCCAGGAGACTGAGTCAGGGTGATTTGTCCTGATGAACCTGAAAACATGAAACAGAGGAGAAGGGTTATTGAGACAAATCCAGCTTGGAGAAAGATGATCAACATCCAAACAGAATAGTATCATTTCTTTAACATGGAGAATAGATGGAAGAAGGTAAATGCTGCTTGTTTCAGTGTTTCTCCATCATAGCAGAACATCATTGTGGTGAACCTGGTTGCATCCTGAAGCAAAGTTTTCAGAAGAGAGTCTCACCCTGAACAAGGAGCCCCAGGGTGGCCAGCAGTAGAGTCAGTGACATCCTCATTGTGCTGCCGGCGTGTCAGTGGCTCTGAAAGGCCTGGACAGCCACTGATCAACACTGGCCTCTTAAAACATGTCTTTGGTGGGATTTTATTTTAGACTATTTCAAAAAAACATAAAAATAGACTTTGAATATCAATTATCAGCTAAACCTAATTGACAACCACAGTTGAATTGTTAAACAGACGGACTAAAAAAACACAAAAAGCTTCAGAAAAGTGTCAGCGTTATTTCTAACTGAGGTTAAAACACAATTTGTGCCATTTTAGAAGGTCAGACATTTGGAATCATTCCTAACATTTATCATTCACACTATTAAATGTTATTTTAACTGCAGTTAAAAATGCAGAATAAATGACTGAATTTTAAAAACCTTTGTACAGTACGAGTGTTGTTCTTTAATCTTTCCTGCAGTTCAAGCTGTTCACATTTCACTAATTAACTGGAACATTTAAAGAACAGTTCAGTAAAGCTGCCTTGAGTTCAACTTTAAGGTTAAACCAACAATAAAATTGAGTCTTTAAAGTGATTTAGATCAGCCCAGTGGAAATGTATATCTACTACAAATGTTCAGACACAGAAATTAAAACTTTAACTGATGATATGATATTTAATATTTGAGCAGAAACTTACTTCCAATCTCCAGTCTGGTTCCTCCACCAAAAGTCAACCACAGTGATACAAACTGATTGAGTCGTCGTACAAAAACCTCTCACTGTAGAGAGACACGGCTCTCTGACTTTGTCTGACAAAGTTTAAAATGCAAGTACTCAACTTTTCACTTTAATCTCAAAACTGAAATAAATGACTTCTGCTCTTCACCGAGGAATTGTAGTAATTACATTCATAATTTAATTTGGATTTTAAAACTCACAGTTTACTTTCTTTATACAAAGCTACTGGAGAAAAATAGAAATAAACATTTGATATTTCAATGGCTAGACAAAAAAGTACCTGCAGAACAGAACATTTTTTTATTTCAAAAAAATCTAAATTTGAACTTACTTCCAATCTCCACTCTGGTTCCTCCACCGAACGTGTACCACAGTGATACAAACTGATTGAGTCGTCGTACAAAAACCTCTCACTGTAGAGAGACACGGCTCTCTGACTTTGAACACAACAAAGTCAACATCAACAGTTCCTGTTTTTAAAAGAATGAACTATTTCATGTTCTATTTATCAAACAGTGCCACAATTGTTCAGAATGAATCACATTTTTACATATTTATTGTTCCATATGTCTGAAAGTAACATTGATCTCTCTAGCATTAAATTAAAGCAGACAGAAGACGTTCTGAAAGAAAATCATTGTGCAGTCATCAAGCCCATTCCACATTAAAATGATCACTGATACATTGTTAATCAATACTCTGATAAAGTGATTGATCCATTGAGAAACAGCATCATCAGAGTAATCCAAGTCCCTGTTGCAGTCAGTCAGAGCATTTCCATAGAGAGCCACTTTGCATCAGCAGCACCATGCTCCAGTGCTCTGGGAGAGTTTATAGTCCTGAGAGTTGAACACTGGATGACTGACAGCTGTCCTTCATGACAACAGAAGACACAGAAATCCTCCTCATCAAAAACATGACTTTGATCTCCGTCCTCATCTGGACTCTCCTCTGCTTCACTCAGGGTGAGGAAAATCAGTTTTCTGTGCTGTGAAAATCATTTGGAGTGTAGCTGAGTTTCACCTCACCATCTCATGTCCATTGTTTCTTCTCTCTCCTCAGGGTCTGTTGGACAGAATGTTGTTGTGACTCAGCCAGCAGCCAAATCGGTCCAACCGGGACAAACTGTTTCTATTGAATGTAAAGCCAGTAGACAAGTTACTCAGTACTCTGGTTCACAATACTACCTGGCCTGGTACCATCAGAAAACTGGAGAAGCTCCTAAACTTCTGATCTACCTGACATCAAGCAGAGAATCTGGAATCTCCTCCAGATTCAGTGGAAGTGGAGCAGGGAATGGAATTGACTTCACTCTGACCATCAGTGGAGTCCAGGCTGAAGATACAGGAGTTTACTATTGTCAGAGTCATCACTCTGTTAATAGTCAAGCTGTGTTCACACAGTGAAAAAGCATCGTACAAAAACCTCCCTCAGTCAGACTGAACAGAAACTGAACTGATTGCTGCAGCTGGAAGCTACTGCAGAGACTGATACAGTTCACTGAAGCAACCCAGACATGTTAACAGCATAATATATCTAACAGCCCTTATATTTGGCATAATTTCCAAATCACCTCTGTTAATTTCCACAGAACCAACAGGTGGATCAATAAAATGTATGTAGGTTTTTTAAGATGAAGCCTGGTTCCCCTGTTCTCCTGCAAACGTCACCCTGACCTCCATCTGGAAAAACTGACACAAGAGAGAGATCAAGATCATAAAGCTGGAAGAAAATTACAAACTCACATATTGAAAACATAAAATATGTGATCAGACATAGATCAATGCAGTTTCATCTGTAGTCCACAAAAGAAGAGACGTTCATTAACTTCAACCTCTGAACTTTAAACAGACATTCTTCAGACACTGATCCACAAACCTCAGACAGTTTTTCTGATCCTGAACAAACTGAAGGACAGTATTTTGTCATAAGTAGTCTGCAAAGGTTTTTGAACTTTAAGACAGCTAGGGTGGTTTTGAAGCACTACTTTAACTATCTTTACAAGTATCTAAAAGGTTTGTAACCAAACAATGCTGATTGTTTTTGGGACAGAATAGATTATATGAAGCAATGTTTGGATATGTAGTACATTAAGGTTGTCAGAGAACTGATTTTTGATATTTAGCACAGAGAGTTCCTCCAATAATGACAACTTCCTAACAATAATAATAATAATATTACATTTTATTTATAAGTAGATAAGATTATAAGTCCTTCCAATATTGACAACTTTATAACAATATTAATAATATTACATTTTATTTATATATACATATATATATTGTCATGTACTCAAAGACACTTCACATAAGTTAAAATACATAGGTTAAAAAGATCATCAAACAACCAGCAAAAAAATACAATCACACATTGAAGCAATTCTGAAAAGACTGGTTTTGATTAGTGATTTTAATGTGGATGAATCGGTACAGTCTCTGATGTGTTTGAGGATGGAGTTGGGGTGCAGCTATGGAGAAGGCTTGGTTTGGATGCTTGGTCCTGGGTGGTGGAGACAGGAGGTTGGCATCAGAAGAGCGGAGGCTTTGTGACAGAGTGCGGCAGTGGAGCAGGTCAGTGAGGTAGGAGGGGGCCTGGTTATAGAGGGCTTTGTGAGTGAGGAGAAGGACTTTAAATTGGATCTGTTGTGGGACAATGACACAGTGGAGGCTTTGGACAACAGGAGTGATATGTGGTTGAGGGAGCACATTGTATGGTGGTGTAAATGTTTGATCAGATATTTTTAGTAGTAGTAAATGTTGTGCGTACAGTATGAAATTCTACTTTCCATCTTACAACAGTAAGATATTTCACTGTGGAGGCACACATTCTGGACACCATTCAGAAAATGTGATATCTAATATCTAAGAATGTCTGTCTGGATTTTGAGAGCACTTGGAGATATACATGTTAACTGATTCTGCATATTTTGAAAAGATACAGAGTGATTTAAATAGACCATAGATTGCAGTATCAAACAATAGCAGCATGTAAAGTCTGAACAAAAGAGGACCTAGGATGAAGCCTTGTGGGATTATAGTTGATAGTAGCAGATGACTGTTAACCAAGTGAGACTACATCATCTCTTCCTGACAGTTAGGGACTGAACCAGTTTAACACTGTGACAGAGAGAGCAACATATTTCTGGAGTTGATGTAGATGTACAGCATACTGTAATTTACACTTCTAATGACAACTCTTAAATTATTAAGTTATATAATTGATAGTTTCTTATAATCCACATTTGATCTATTTTACGTTTTTATAACCTTAATAATGTTTGGTCCAGTGTTGTCAGTGATGAGTAAAAATGTTGAAAGTAACTTTCTGTAAAATGAAGTTAGTTGCTTAGTTTTCAATTTCAGTTACCTGTATGAGCACCATGTCTTTCTCTTTCTGTATTTAAGTAAATAAAAAATAAACTGTTTAATTTAGTTTTAGATTAGTATGAAATTATTATACAGCATTGTGAGTTTCTGTGAATCAGCATGAGGATGATTTAAACAGTCAGTACTCCCAGCAGTGAGGAGGAAACAGCATGATATGTTGAGGACAGCTACAGTTCACTGACTCTGTGTGTTTGCATATGTGTCCTTCCTCTCTGCTCCCAGCCTTTAAGAGGCCAGTGTTGATCAGTGGCTGTCCAGGCCTTTCAGAGCCACTGACACGCCGGCAGCACAATGATGATGTCACTGACTCTACTGCTGGCCACCCTGGGGCTCCTTGTTCAGGGTGAGACTCTCTTCTGAAAACTTTGCTTCAGGATGCAACCAGGTTCACCACAATGATGTTCTGCTATGATGGAGAAACAGTGAAACAAGCAGCATTTACCTTCTTCCATCTATTCTCCATGTTAAAGAAATGATACTCTTCTGTTTGGATGTTGATCATCTTTCTCCAAGCTGGATTTGTCTCAATAACCCTTCTCCTCTGTTTCATGTTTTCAGGTTCATCAGGACAAATCACCCTGACTCAGTCTCCTGGAACTCAGTCTGTTGTTCCAGGACAGACTGTCTCTATCAGATGTACAGCCAGTTCATATGCTAGTAACTACCTCCACTGGTACCTTCAGAAACCTGGAGAAGCTCCTAAACTCCTGATTAATTATGCTTCAACCCGTCAGTCTGGAGTTTCTGATCGTTTTAGTGGAAGTGGAAGTTCACCTTGGACAGAGTTCATTCTGACCATCAGTGGAGTTCAGGCTGAAGATTCAGGAGTTTACTACTGTCAGCAGAGTTACGACACACCGTTCACACAGTGATACAACGTCGTACAAAAACCTCCCTCAGCTGGAGAGGAACTGATCTGACTCAACAGCTGCACTGACACTAAAACAACAGAGGTTTCTCTACAATGAAAACTCATGATTGTATAAGACAGTATGATTTTAATTGTGAAAATATTTATCATTCAATTTAGTACATCATTTTATTATCACTGAAACAATGTTTTATCACACATCTACAGTTTACTTAAACAGTTTTAGAGCAAAGCTTCATTCAGAAAATAAATAGTTTAAGAAGGAATTATGACACAAAAACACAAAATTTTTTGGTGTGAAAGAAATTTTTCATCTCATAATTTCTGAAGGTTAATTCTTGTTTCACTGAAAATTCTGTGTTATTATAGAATAATTTGATTTGTATAGTGATAAATTATAACAGAATTTAACTCAAGGCAGACTTTATATAGAGAAGTTTAGAGTCTAGGCCGTACTTAACAAAACCTTTAAATTAACACTAAAAATGCAGATTAATAAAACTGAAGGATAAATAAATCTTTAATTTGAACAAATCTTTTAAATAGTAATGTGCCTCTTTAACCCAAGACATTTTGTATTATTGATGAAGCAGACATACACTCATTACAACTGTACATTAAAATGAAATCCATACGTAAGTATAAATAAAATAATGAATTACAAATCTGCTTCAATGATGCCGATAATGTTCACTTCCTGTTCACACTGTCATACAGGTGATAATTATATGTTCTTGCATTGACGTCAGTGATGTTGTTGCACTGGATTACATTATATTCAGGTGTTTCTAATATTTTGACCTCCTCATGTATTTAAACAGGGAGGACCAATTATTACACACAGAGCAACTTTAAAACTTAAAACTTTAACTCATTTGTCTGTACAGTTGAGCTGTTCAGTAAAAGCAGTATGTAAATATTCCCAGGGTTGAACTTACTGATCAAAGTCATTTTAAATCTCTCTATGTTGATGATATGCTTTTTTATATACTTTTGTGGTTTTAGAGATTTAAGAATAATATATATTCTTTGCATTGACTCAGTTTTTCACTGGATGTAATCCAGTCACTGACACCATGAAGAGAAAATCATTAAGACACTTTGATAATAATAAAGATGAAAACAAGTGATTTGATGAACACGTCTTTATTATCTGGAAACAGTGAAATAATATTGAAACACTGCAACAAGCTAGTAAATATTCTGACTGAAACATGTCAAATGAAAGAGAGAGATAGTTACAGAGTGCACAGTGAGAGCAGTAGCAGAGTAAAACCAGTAGCAGAGTCCCAGTGAGTCAGGTCAGGACTGGGAACACTGGTCTCTCCTCAGTGTCTCTGAGAGCGGAGTCTGGGAGCCCTGGGTGGCCTCACAGGTCACAGAGCCCACCTTCCTCCACTGGTCTGCAGAGAGCCTCAGGGTGCTGCTCCAGCTGTAGTGGCCGTCCTTCAGCACCCCGGGGCTCCTGCTCTGCTCCCAGCTGCTGCTGCTGCTGCTGCTGCTGCCGTCCACCTTCCAGGACAGACTCCAGTCTGAGGGGAAGCCCTTGTTGGCCAGGCACATGAGCGTGGCCTTCCCCTGCTGCAGCTCCTCACTGGAGGGGGGCAGCACCGTCAGGGTGGGACGGACATCACCTAGGAGACACCAATCAGATTAGAGGACAGGGACCACACAGCTGTCAATCAACCAGCAGACACTTGGACACCTTTACTGTGTGAGAGTTGATTTTCTCCTTTAAGGAGTTTCTGTCAGATGGTTTTTCTGCTCCAGCAGTCACTCACTCACACATTGTTTCACTTCCCTTTAAGAAACCTCTCATGCACATCAGCACAGACACAGTCCTCATATGACCTGAAATATATCAAACTACACTGCAAATAACAGAAGCACATTATAAATATCAACATTTAAAACATGTCTTTGGTGGGATTTTATTTTAGACTATTTGAAAAAAACATAAAAATAGACTTTGAATATCAATTATCAGCTAAAACTAATTGACAACCACAGTTGAATTGTTAAACAGACAGACTAAAAAACACAAAAAGCTTCAGAAAAGTGTCAGCGTTATTTCTAACTGAGGTTAAAACACAATTTGTGCCATTTTAGAAGATCAGACATTTGGAATCATTCCTAACATTTATCATTCACACTATTTTGTGTTATTTTAACTGCAGTTAAAAATACAGAATAAATGACTGAATTTTAAAAACATTTGTACAGTACGAGTGTTGTTCTTTAATCTTTCCTGCAGTTCAAGCTGTTCACATTTCACTAATTAACTGGAACATTTAAAGAACAGTTCAGTAAAGCTGCTTTGAGTTCAACTTTAAGGTCAAACCAACAATAAAATTGAGTCTTTAAAGTGATTTAGATCAGCCCAGTGGAAATTTATATCTACTACAAATGTTCAGACACAGAAATTAAAACTTTAACTGATGATACCATATTTAATATTTGAGCAGAAACTTACTTCCAATCTCCAGTCTGGTTCCTCCACCAAAAGTCAACCACAGTGATACAAACTGATTGAGTCGTCGTACAAAAACCTCTCACTGTAGAGAGACACGGCTCTCTGACTTTGTCTGACAAAGTTTAAACTGCAAGTACTCAACTTTTCACTTTAATCTAAAAACTGAAATACATGACTTCTGCTCTTCACCAAGGAATTGTAGTAATGACATTGATAATTTAACAATTTAATTGGTAACCGTTTACCTTCTTTGTACAAAACTAATGGAGAAAAATAGAATCAAACATTTGATATTTCAATGGCTGGACAAAAGTGTACCTGCAGAAAAGAAAATGTTGCTCATGAATTTATAAAATACATCAAAACTTGAACTTACTTCCAATCTCCAGTCTGGTTCCTCCACCGAACGTGTACCACAGTGATACAAACCGATTGAGTCGTCGTACAAAAACCTCTCACTGTAGAGAGACACGGCTCTCTGACTTTGAACACAACAAAGTCAACATCAACAGTTCCTGTTTTTAAAAGAATGAACTATTTCATGTTCTATTTATCAAACAGTGCCACAATTGTTCAGAATGAATCATATTTTTACATATTTATTGTTCCATATGTCTGAAAGTAACATTGATCTCTCTAGCATTAAATTAAAGCAGACAGAAGACTCTCCTCTGCTTCACTCAGGGTGAGGAAAATCAGTTTTCTGTGCTGTGAAAATCATTTGGAGTGTAGTTGAGTTTCACCTCACCATCTCATGTCCATTGTTTCTTCTCTCTCCTCAGGGTCTGTTGGACAGAATGTTGTTGTGACTCAGCCAGCAGCCAAATCAGTCCAACCGGGACAAACTGTTTCTATTGAATGTAAAGCCAGTACACAAGTTGCTCACAGGTCTGGTTCACAATACTACCTGGCCTGGTACCATCAGAAAACTGGAGAAGCTCCTAAACTTCTGATCTACATAACATCAGACAGATTTTCTGGAATCTCCTCCAGATTCAGTGGAAGTGGAGCAGGGAATGGAGTTGACTTCATTCTGACCATCAGTGGAGTCCAGGCTGAAGATACAGGAGTTTACTACTGTCAGAGTTATCATTATATCAACAGTCAAGCTGTGTTCACACAGTGAAAAAGCGTCGTACAAAAACCTCCCTCAGTCAGACTGAACAGAAACTGAACTGACTGCTGCAGCTGGAAGCTACTGCAGAGACTGATACAGTTCGCTGAAGCAACCCAGACATGTTAACAGCACAATATATCTAACAACCCTTATATTTGGCATCATTTCAAAATCACCTCTGTTAATAGAACCAACAGGTGGATCAATAAAATGTATGTAGGTTTTTTAAGATGAAGCCTGGTTCCCCTGTTCTCCTGCAAACGTCACCCTGACCTCCATCTGGAAAAACTGACATAAAAGAGAGAGATCAAGATCATAAAGCTGGAAGAAAATTACAAACTCACATATTGAAAACATAAAATATGTGATCAGACATAGATCAATGCAGTTTCATCTGTAGTCCACAAAAGAAGAGACGTTCATTAACTTCAACCTCTGAACTTTAAACAGACATTCTTCAGACACTGATCCACAAACCTCAGACAGTTTTTATGATCCTGAACAAACTGAAGGACAGTATTTTGTCATAAGTAGTCTGCAAAGGTTTTTGAACTTTAACACAGCTAAGGTGGTTTTGAAGCACTACTTTAACTATCTTTACAAGTATCTAAAAGGTTTGTAACCAAACAATGCTGATTGTTTTTGGGACAGAATAGATTATATGAAGCAATGTTTGGATATGTAGTACATTAAGGTTGTCAGAGAACTGATTTTGATATTTAGTACAGAAAGTTCCTCCAATAATGACAACTTTATAACAATATTAATAATATTACATTTTATTTATATATACATATATATTTTTTCATGTACTCAATGACACTTCACATAAGTTAAAATACATAGGTTAAAAAGATCATCAAACAACCAGCAAAAAAATACAATCACACATTGAAGCAATTCTGAAAAGGCTGGTTTTGATTAGTGATTTTAATGTGGATGAATCGGTACAGTCTCTGATGTGTTTGAGGATGGAGTTGGGGGTGCAGCTATGGAGAAGGCTTGGTTTGGATGCTTGGTCCTGGGTGGTGGAGACAGGAGGTTGGCATCAGAAGAGCGGAGGCTTTGTGACAGAGTGCGGCAGTGGAGCAGGTCAGTGAGGTAGGAGGGGGCCTGGTTATAGAGGGCTTTGTGAGTGAGGAGAAGGACTTTAAATTGGATCTGTTGTGGGACAATGACACAGTGGAGGCTTTGGACAACAGGAGTGATATGTGGTTGAGGGAGCACATTGCATGGTGGTGCGAATGTTTGATCAGATATTTTTAGTAGTAGTAAATGTTGTGCATACAGTATGAAATTCTACTTTCCATCTTACTGCAGTAAGATATTTCACTGCGGAGGAACACAATCTGGACGCCATTCAGAAAATGTGATATCTAATATCTAAGAATGTCTGTCTGGATTTTGGGAGCACTTGGAGATATACATGTTAACTGATTCTGCATATTTTGAAAAGATATAGAGTGATTTAAATAGACCATAGATTGCAGTATCAAACAATAGCAGCATGTAAAGTCTGAACAAAAGAGGACCTAGGATGAAGCCTTGTGGGATTATAGTTGATAGTAGCAGATGACTGTTAACCAAGTGAGACTACATCATCTCTTCCTGACAGTTAGGGACTGAACCAGTTTAACACTGTGACAGAGAGAGCAACATATTTCTGGAGTAGATGTAGATGTACAGCATACTGTAATTTAAACTTCTAATGACAACTCTTAAATTATTAAGTTATATAATTGATAGTTTCTTATAATCCACATTTGATCTATTTTACGTTTTTATAACCTTAATAATGTTTGGTCCAGTGTTGTCAGTGATGAGTAAAAATGTTGAAAGTAACTTTCTGTAAAATGAAGTTAGTTGCTTAGTTTTCAATTTCAGTTACCTGTATGAGCACCATGTCTTTCTCTTTCTGTATTTAAGTAAATAAAAAATAAACTGTTTAATTTAGTTTTAGATTAGTATGAAATTATTATACAGCATTGTGAGTTTCTGTGAATCAGCATGAGGATGATTTAAACAGTCAGTACTCCCAGCAGTGAGGAGGAAACAGCATGATATGTTGAGGACAGCTACAGTTCACTGACTCTGTGTGTTTGCATATGTGTCCTTCCTCTCTGCTCCCAGCCTTTAAGAGGCCAGTGTTGATCAGTGGCTGTCCAGGCCTTTCAGAGCCACTGACACGCCGGCAGCACAATGATGATGTCACTGACTCTACTGCTGGCCACCCTGGGGCTCCTTGTTCAGGGTGAGACTCTCTTCTGAAAACTTTGCTTCAGGATGCAAACAGGTTCACCACAATGATGTTCTGCTATGATGGAGAAACAGTGAAACAAGCAGCATTTACCTTCTTCCATCTATTCTCCATGTTAAAGAAATGATACTCTTCTGTTTGGATGTTGATCATCTTTCTCCAAGCTGGATTTGTCTCAATAACCCTTCTCCTCTGTTTCATGTTTTCAGGTTCATCAGGACAAATCACCCTGACTCAGTCTCCTGGATCTCAGTCTGTTGTTCCAGGACAGACTGTCTCTATCAGATGTAAAACCAGTACAAGTGTTAGTGGCTGGCTCCACTGGTACCTTCAGAAACCTGGAGAAGCTCCTAAACTCCTGATTTATTCAGCTACAACTCGTCAGTCTGGAGTTTCAAGTCGTTTTAGTGGAAGTGGATCTGGTTCTGACTACACTCTGACCATCAGTGGAGTTCAGGCTGAAGATTCAGGAGTTTACTACTGTCAGCAGAGTTACAGCTCGTTCACACAGTGATACAACGTCGTACAAAAACCTCCCTCAGCTGGAGAGGAACTGATCTGACTCAACAGCTGCACTGACACTAAAACAACAGAGGTTTCACAAAAAAACACCCCATCATTAATAATGATTGGCTTTGAACATTTTGCCACTAAATATTCAGTATTTAAAAAGTCATATTTTTAATGCTTTCAGGAAAACAGGGTGTGAAACAGTCTGCTGCACATCAGTGGTAACCTCTCTCGAAGTATGATTTCAATTCATCGATAAGTGAAATCCATGGAGTAT